TCTCTCTCACTTGAGGCTTTCTTAACTTTGTAAGTGACTTGGAGCCTTCTGTGTCTTCTATTTGTAACATTCAATCCATTTTTCAATCAGGTTTTTGGAAGTTAGCGTTATTATATGATTATAGCTAAGTACACCACCACCTCTCCAAGTCCCACCCCAAGTCCCACCCCAACCCAAATAATTTGGTACCCCTGCCCAATGTTACAGGTTTAGATGGTAAAAATAACATTGAGAAACTTCAGACTGATGTTATAGTTGAAGAATGTATTCAGATTCGAGAAGATCAATTCAACGCTCATTTTGAAAAGGATGAAACTATCAAGGTACCAGTAGAAATTTTTTTATTGAATTTTTTGTTTTTTTGATAGAATTTCTATTTTTTTAAAATGTTGATGGATTTTCCATTTGCCCTCTAGGTCACTAGATAATTCCATGTTGTTTTGAGAGACAATTATGATAAAGAGTGTCACCAGCATCATTTCAACTCCTCTGAAACCATATCTGAAACCTAGTAGATTAACAGAGTTACATCCCTTTATGAATTAGACCGTTATCTGTAGTTATCTCCCTTTACAATGCTATACTATATCGTTTATTTCCAGGCAGAAAAACAGAAGAAACTGACGGAAACGACTCTTCCAAAAATTCTGGGTTTTATTGAGAAAGCTTTAAGTGAAAATGCTCGTGGTAATGGTTTTGTTGTGGGCAACCAGGTAGGTTACTGATAATTATCTTCTGGTATTTTGAGATTCTGACTCCACGTTTCTGAAAGGGTACAGACCCGCAGACCAGGGGTTCTTCGCTGTTAAAGTACCCTCGCACCACAGCGATCACCAGTGTATGGGGTAAATAACAATAGCAGTAATAAGTTTCAAACATAACTCTCATACAACTATTTAGGCGCTGGATATGTCACAGTGCTTATTGATCTGTCGAATGAAATAGATGGGTTTGGACATCCCTTGAAATATTTCATTTAACCACGATACTTTTACAGCTTCACAATGTGAATATATTACGAACTCTGTCTAATACCTTGACATCTTTAGATCCTTTTATTGTATCACAGAAGTTTGTAAATGCAGCGATTCGATTAGATTTTACGCTACCGAGTACAGTTAAGAGTCCTAGACTGAAAGTCTGTAAACCATAACTCTGCTGTGATACAAAGTATATGCCTATTCATGTCAAGGTATGAGATAGTACCTTGGTATTGTGAAGATGATGGCAGAAGAACATACATTGTCTTCCCATTATCCATTAACCCTTTAAAATATTGAACTGAATATTAGATAGCAATCCTCCATTAATTCCCTTTTTTGAGAAATAAGTAAGTAGCTAGACTTCATCCATTTTATTTTCATCATTTCAGTTAACATGGGCCGACCTGGCTTTAATTGATACGATGGAACGTCTCCCTGACTTACTCGCCAAATACCCCAAAATATCAGCCCACAAAAAACTGGTGGAAGGTTTACCTAAACTAGCAGCCTACATCAACAAGAGACCAAAAACTGACCTTTAATGCACTTAAAAGAAAAAAGGGTGGACTAGCCAATAGAACTAATACCTTGTCACTCATCAGATTAGAAACTAGACACCTAGTTCATGTACAATAAATTAAAAACGAAGTGCCCACATCAATAAGAGATTAAAGACTGAACTTGAAAGAAATATAATATACCACTTTTCTGGATATAATCTGGCATCTCGTTCATCTACAATTAATTAACAACGCCTGTTCAAGTAATTGCAAGCGAACTAAAAGCAACATTTTAATTCTATGTAGTGACACAAAGCACATGCACATTCACCCACTCACTTACATTTAATGATAGCATATTAAAGAATTTCAATTATATTTCGATGTAAATAAATCTTAAATAGCTTCTGTTGTTATTTTTGGTTCACTTTCCACCCCTATTGATAGTTCACAGACGTCATTTCCCGTTACATGTAGCAAACAACAAGTAAATATTTTGGATTATAGACATGATAGTTTAGAACAATGTTGGCTCACTGCTATCTACTAGCTAGTTGGACACGGTAGTTCAGATCAATGGTGGCTCACTACTATCGTGTTACAATCTACTAGCTAGTTGGACACGGTAGTTTAGAACAATGGTGTCTACCTGCTATCGTGCTACAATCTGCTAGTTGGACTCAATGGTGGATCGCTGCTTTCTTGTTTAAATTAAACAACTATTTAGGCGCTGGATATGTCACAGTGCTTATTGATCTGTCGAATGAAATAGATGGGTTTGGACATCCCTTGAAATATTTCATTTAACCACGATACTTTTACAGCTTCACAATGTGAATATATTACGAACTCTGTCTAATACCTTGACATCTTTAGATCCTTTTATTGTATCACAGAAGTTTGTAAATGCAGCGATTCGATTAGATTTTACGCTACCGAGTACAGTTAAGAGTCCTAGACTGAAAGTCTGTAAACCATAACTCTGCTGTGATACAAAGTATGTGCCTATTCATGTCAAGGTATGAGATAGTACCTTGGTATTGTGAAGATGATGGCAGTAGAACATACATTGTCTTCCCATTATCCATTAACCCTTTAAAATATTGAACTGAATATTAGATAGCAATCCTCCATTAATTCCCTTTTTTGAGAAATAAGTAAGTAGCTAGACTTCATCCATTTTATTTTCATCATTTCAGTTAACATGGGCCGACCTGGCTTTAATTGATACGATGGAACGTCTCCCTGACTTACTCGCCAAATACCCCAAAATATCAGCCCACAAAAAACTGGTGGAAGGTTTACCTAAACTAGCAGCCTACATCAACAAGAGACCAAAAACTGACCTTTAAGGCACTTAAAAGAAAAAAGGGTGGACTAGCCAATAGAACTAATACCTTGTCACTCATCAGATTAGAAACTAGACACCTAGTTCATGTACAATAAATTAAAAACGAAGTGCCCACATCAATAAGAGATTAAAGACTGAACTTGAAAGAAATATAATATACCACTTTTCTGGATATAATCTGGCATCTCGTTCATCTAATTAACAACGAAATGCGAAGTGATTGCAGTTAATCGTATTTCCCAGACGACCGTTTAATCATTATCTTGAGCAAACAGCTCAAGGATCTGCATAACCGGTATAATGACATTTCGACATTGGTTATAGCCTGTTCAAGTAATTGCAAGCGAACTAAAAGCAACATTTTAATTCTATGTAGTGACACAAAGCACATGCACATTCACCCACTCACTTACATTTAATGATAGCATATTAAAGAATTTCAATTATATTTCGATGTAAATAAATCTTAAATAGCTTCTGTTGTTATTTTTGGTTCACTTTCCACCCCTATTGATAGTTCACAGACGTCATTTCCCGTTACATGTAGCAAACAACAAGTAAATATTTTGGATTATAGACATGATAGTTTAGAACAATGTTGGCTCACTGCTATCTACTAGCTAGTTGGACACGGTAGTTCAGATCAATGGTGGCTCACTACTATCGTGTTACAATCTACTAGCTAGTTGGACACGGTAGTTTAGAACAATGGTGTCTACCTGCTATCGTGCTACAATCTGCTAGTTGGACTCAATGGTGGATCGCTGCTTTCTTGTTTAAATTAAACAACTATTTAGGCGCTGGATATGTCACAGTGCTTATTGATCTGTCGAATGAAATAGATGGGTTTGGACATCCCTTGAAATATTTCATTTAACCACGATACTTTTACAGCTTCACAATGTGAATATATTACGAACTCTGTCTAATACCTTGACATCTTTAGATCCTTTTATTGTATCACAGAAGTTTGTAAATGCAGCGATTCGATTAGATTTTACGCTACCGAGTACAGTTAAGAGTCCTAGACTGAAAGTCTGTAAACCATAACTCTGCTGTGATACAAAGTATGTGCCTATTCATGTCAAGGTATGAGATAGTACCTTGGTATTGTGAAGATGATGGCAGTAGAACATACATTGTCTTCCCATTATCCATTAACCCTTTAAAATATTGAACTGAATATTAGATAGCAATCCTCCATTAATTCCCTTTTTTTAGAAATAAGTAAGTAGCTAGACTTCATCCATTTTATTTTCATCATTTCAGTTAACATGGGCCGACCTGGCTTTAATTGATACGATGGAACGTCTCCCTGACTTACTCGCCAAATACCCCAAAATATCAGCCCACAAAAAACTGGTGGAAGGTTTACCTAAACTAGCAGCCTACATCAACAAGAGACCAAAAACTGACCTTTAAGGCACTTAAAAGAAAAAAGGGTGGACTAGCCAATAGAACTAATACCTTGTCACTCATCAGATTAGAAACTAGACACCTAGTTCATGTACAATAAATTAAAAACGAAGTGCCCACATCAATAAGAGATTAAAGACTGAACTTGAAAGAAATATAATATACCACTTTTCTGGATATAATCTGGCATCTCGTTCATCTAATTAAACAACGAAATGCGAAGTGATTGCAGTTAATCGTATTTCCCAGACGACCGTTTAATCATTATCTTGAGCAAACAGCTCAAGGATCTGCATAACCGGTATAATGACATTTCGACATTGGTTATAGCCTGTTCAAGTAATTGCAAGCGAACTAAAAGCAACATTTTAATTCTATGTAGTGACACAAAGCACATGCACATTCACCCACTCACTTACATTTAATGATAGCATATTAAAGAATTTCAATTATATTTCGATGTAAATAAATCTTAAATAGCTTCTGTTGTTATTTTTGGTTCACTTTCCACCCCTATTGATAGTTCACAGACGTCATTTCCCGTTACATGTAGCAAACAACAAGTAAATATTTTGGATTATAGACATGATAGTTTAGAACAATGTTGGCTCACTGCTATCTACTAGCTAGTTGGACACGGTAGTTCAGATCAATGGTGGCTCACTACTATCGTGTTACAATCTACTAGCTAGTTGGACACGGTAGTTTAGAACAATGGTGTCTCCCTGCTATCGTGCTACAATCTGCTAGTTGGACTCAATGGTGGATCGCTGCTTTCTTGTTTAAATCTGTTAGCTAGTTGGAAATGATAGTTTAGATCAATGGTGGTTCACTGCTATCATGTCACAATCTATTGGATGCGACAGTTTGGAACACTCTAGTCCCATTCTGTCTACAGAAAACTGTCATTGTACCAAACAATCTACTAGCTAGTTAGACATGATAGTTTGGTATACTCTAGTCCCATTCTGACAACAGAAAACTGTCATTGTATCAAACAATCTACTAGCTAGTTGGACATGATAGTTTGGTATACTCTAGTCTCATTCTAACTACAGAAAACTGTCATTGTACCAAACAATCTGCTAGCTAGTTGGACATGATAGTTTGGTATGTTCTAGTCTCATTCTGACTACAGAAAACTGTCATTGTATCAAACAATCTACTAGCTAGTTAGACACGATAGTTTGGTATGTTCTAGTCCCATTCTGACCACAGAAAACTGTCATTGTATCAAACAATCTACTAGCTAGTTAGACATGATAGTTTGGTATGTTCTAGTCCCATTCTGACTACAGAAAACTGTCATTGTATCAAACAATTTACTAGCTAGTTGGACATGATAGTTTGGTATACTCTAGTCTCATTCTTACTACAGAAAACTGTCATTGTACCAATCAATCTACTAGCTAGTTGGACATGATAGTTTGGTATACTCTAGTCTCATTCTGACCACAGAAAACTGTCATTGTATCAAACAATTTACTAGCTAATTGGACATGATAGTTTGGTATACTCTAGTCTCATTCTAACTACAGAAAACTGTCATTGTACCAAACAATCTGCTAGCTAGTTGGATATGATAGTTTGGTATGTTCTAGTCTCATTCTGACTACAGAAAACTGTCATTGTATCAAACAATCTACTAGCTAGTTAGACACGATAGTTTGGTATGTTCTAGTCCCATTCTGACCACAGAAAACTGTCATTGTATCAAACAATCTACTAGCTAGTTAGACATGATAGTTTGGTATGTTCTAATCCCATTCTGACTACAGAAAACTGTCACTGTATCAAACAATCTACTAGCTAGTTAGACACGATAGTTTGGTATGTTCTAGTCCCATTCTGACCACAGAAAACTGTCATTGTATCAAGCAATCCGGTAGCTAGTTAGACACGATAGTTTGGTATGTTCTAGTCTCATTCTGACCACAGAAAACTGTCATTGTACCAATCAATCTACTAGCTAGTTAGACACGATAGTCTGGTATACTCTAGTCTCATTCTGACCACAGCAAACTTTAATTGTACCAATCAATCTACTAGCTAGTTAGACATGATAGTTTGGTATACTCTAGTCTCATTCTGACCACAGAAAACTGTCATTGTATCAAACAATCTACTAGCTAGTTAGACACGATAGTTTGGTATACTCTAATCCCATTCTGACTACAGAAAACTGTCATTGTACCAAACAATCTACTAGCTAGTTAGACACGATAGTTTGGTATACTCTAGTCTCATTCTGACCACAGAAAACTGTCATTGTATCAAACAATCTACTAGCTAGTTAGACACGATAGTTTGGTATACTCTAATCCCATTCTGACTACAGAAAACTGTCATTGTACCAAACAATCTACTAGCTAGTTAGACATGTTAGTTTGGTATACTCTAGTCCCATTCTAACAACAGAAAACTGTCATTGTACCAAACAATCTACTAGCTAGTTAGATACGATAGTTTGGTATACTCTAGTCCCATTCTAACAACAGAAAACTGTCATTGTACCAAACAATCTACTAGCTAGTTAGACATGATAGTTTGGTATACTCTAGTCCCATTCTAAAAACAGAAAACTGTCATTGTACCACACAATCTACTAGCTAGTTAGACATGATAGTTTGGTATACTCTAGTCTCATTCTGACAACAGAAAACTGTCATTGTATCAAACAATCTACTAGCTAGTTAGACATGATAGTTTGGTATACTCTAGTCTCATTCTGACCACAGAAAACTGTCATTGTATCAAACAATCTACTAGCTAGTTAGACACGATAGTTTGGTATACTCTAATCCCATTCTGACTACAGAAAACTGTCATTGTACCAAACAATCTACTAGCTAGTTAGACATGATAGTTTGATATACTCTATTCTCATTCTGACCACAGAAAACTGTCATTGTATCAAACAATCTACTAGCTAGTTAGACATGATAGTTTGGTATACTCTAATCCCATTCTGACCACAGAAAACTGTCATTGTATCAAACAATCTACTAACTAGTTAGACATGATAGTTTGGTATGCTGATGATATAAATAATCTGTTTGTTTGTTAAATATGAAATATTGTGTCTAGTCTGAGGTCAATAACAGTTATGTGTAGTAAGATTGATCTTGTTGTAGTCTATAGTTTGGCGATGCAGCATTAGTTGTTTTTTTTATATAAAACTTTAAATAGAGAGTGTCGTTATATCGTTGATTATTTTATCTATTACTACATCAATACTTAATTACGTCTACCATGGAAAAACCCTAAAAAAACCATTTTAAATATATACCTGAGCTAACATTCTATTATACTACTTTATACCTCGCAATAACCACGATATAAACTACAATAAGGTAAGAGACTGAAAATTCAATTCTCAGTCCATTGATCTGTCTTGTAGATTTTATCAGAAAGGAAGGAATACGGATTAAAAGGGTGCGAATAGAAAGGACACATTTTCCGCAGACACGGTGTCGGCTGCGTAGTGGGATTATCGATATATACGGTAGGGTACAGCGATTTTTTTCAAGTTGAGGTCCATTTGCTATGATTTGGAACTGAGCATCTGTTTATTATAGCTTCATTACATATAATTGCACATGCTTTCTGTGCAGAATGGTGGCGAGACAAATGCGGCATATTTTTAAATTTATAATCAGCCCCGATAGAGAGCCCATGCCAATGCAGCCGCCCTCCTTGGCACAGGCTGGCTGGGTTACCGGCCTGTTTATAATGTGCATGGAAATATCATAATAATGCATAATAATTGTATTGTCATGTAGGATGTGCACACTGTAAATTTAAGCCTCATTTATTTCTATTTTCTGTCGTCTTTATCTACAACATGAAATTTAGAAATATATTCATAAACATATCGCTTGACTTAATTTAATACTTGAAAAACATGTGTAATGTATAATCCTATATCACTTGTCGCTCAGTAGACCGATTACATCTATATGATTTAAAATATTAAATTTGAGATGATAGAAAAATTATCCGTTATAATAACTCTAGAATTTGAATCATCTTGTTACTTAAAAATTCACGCTATGTGATCTTCAGATAATTCTAGTGATTATATTGTAGGTACAGGAACAGTCACGCCCGAATACGAATTCAATTTGGCAAGTCTCGGAAGTTTCTGTAAAGCTGAACCCGTCTCGGTACAAACGACCTATTGTGAAAGTTACTCTAATCGCTCATCAATAATTTCACGTTAATGAGTGGCGACTATTTTTAACAACACTGTTTAAATATTGTCGCGTGATCTCGTGTTTCTAGTAATTTAGATATCAGAGACTGGTCGTTCATGACTACAGGTCTTTGTAAACAAAGTCAATGAAAACAAAACATCCGTAATATATGTATTCAAACTGATAATAAAATGTATTATTGGTGAAACAATAGCAATTAATGCATCGATAATTTTTCAGAGTTATCTTCTAAAGGCTCTAATTTATGGACTATTTCTAGGTCGCAATATTACTTTCACTAGACAAATCACAGTTAAATACCGGAAATAAAGAGTCTCGCCCAAGAAGACACAATTGAATTGACCATTCATTACCGAGTCAGATTCAATGTACGGAAACTAGCAAGTTATATATTCTGAAGGGTAATGGTGTACAGTTTGTATTTGGTTGAAGTAATGGAATTGATCGGTTGTCAGAATTTTTAAGGGGGGGGGGGATTTTTTGTTTTGGTGCTCTGGGATGGTATTTTTCCTCTCCTTCACAAAATAAGCGAAAAATCAAGAATTAACACTATAAAAAAGGCCTGTTATATTCACCACCCCTAGGAGGTCTCCCTTCAATTTCTTTAACACTTTTGATCTGAAGTTTCAGAAAGATGGACTGCATAGATGGTGCCCTGGCTTATACCAATTTGAAAATTGACTGGGTTTCTACTGGGCAGAAGTTTGAAGTATCATGCGATCTAGTTATTACAGTTGGTTTCCTGAAAAACCTGATTCAAGACAAGACTGGTATTCCACCCAACAACCAGAAATTGAAATACCAAGACGAAACATTGGCTGACCATAGGAAATTGTCAGACTACGGTATTCAGCATATGTCCACGGTCAAATTGAATTTCGATGGAGGGATGGAGGGACGTTAGATGTGATTTTTACACAGCCACATGATGATGTCATTGTGCGTTGAAAATAGAACAAATATTTTGTTAACTTTTTAAACTTGTGTATATTGTAAAGATTCAAAATATGTTTTCCAGCCATTGTATCATTTGTATCATCATGATGAATGTCATTTGAGACCAAATCTAACATAACATTTTTGAAGTTTTTTATCATTGAGTTCTTAGATGAAATAACTTCAGCCGACAAATGTCAAAATAGCTATCAAAGGCTGGAATATAGAGAGAGGAAGAACTTCTCCCCTCCCCCAAATATTAGCTATTAGGCCAGCGACCGACCATATATCTGGCAACCACCCATAAAACAACAAAAAATAAATAAAAGATAAATTCGTTGGAAAAGGTCGGGCAAACTAGACTTCTACTAGCTAGTTGGACAACATAGTTTGGTGTTCCCTAGTCCCATTGTGATGACAGAAAACTGTCATTGTACCAAACAATCTACTAGCTAGTTAGACATGATAGTTTGGTGTACTCTAGTCCCATTCTTACCACAGAAAACTGTCATCATACCAAGCAATCTACTAGCTAGTTAGACACGGCAGTTTGGTATACTCTAATCCCATTCTGACCACAGAAAACTGTCATTGTACCAAACAATTTACTAGCTAGTTAGACACGATAGTTTGGTATACTCTAATCCCATTCTGACCACACCACAGAAAACTGTCATTGTACCAAACAATCTACTAGCTAGTTAGACACGATAGTTTGGTATGCTCTAATCCCATTCTGACCACAGAAAGCTGTCATTGTACCAAACAATCTACTAGCTAGTTAGACACGATAGTTTGGTATACTCTAATCCCATTCGGATCACAGAAAACTGTCATTGTACCACACAATCTACTAGCTAGTTAGACACGATAGTTTGGTATGCTCTAATCCCATTCTGACCACAGAAAGCTGTCATTGTACCACACAATCTACTAGCTAGTTAGACACGATAGTTTGGTATGCTCTAATCCCATTCTGACCACAGAAAACTGTCATTGTACCACACAATCTACTAGCTAGTTAGACACGATAGTTTGGTCTGCTCTAATCCCATTCGGACAACAGAAAACTGTCATTGTACCACACAATCTACTAGCTAGTTAGACACTATAGTTTGGTATACTCTAATCCCATTCTGACCACAGAAAACTGTCATTGTACCACACAATCTACTAGCTAGTTAGACACGATAGTTTGGTATACTCCAATCCCATTCTGACCACAGAAAACTGTCATTGTATCACACAATCTACTAGCTAGTTAGATACGATAGTTTGGTATGCTCTAATGCCATTCGGATCACAGAAAACTGTCATTGTACCACACAATCTACTAGCTAGTTAGACACGATAGTTTGGTATGCTCTAATCCCATTCTGACCACAGAAAACTGTCATTGTAAATTGAGTAGAATGTATTATAATGTAGGAATATAAAATCCCACACGATACTTAAAAAAAGGTATATACAATTTAGTAAAGTGTATTAGGTGTGAGAAAGGAGGTGTTTATATATAATTATGTTATTTCGTGAAGAGTGAATAGTTGTGATAAATAGGAGTAATAATTTATTTACGTGTCACACAGCAAAATACAAAATAAAATACACAGTATAATAAAAAAAATGAGTATTATGAAATAACTTTTAGTTAGTGTTATCAGCAGAACAACCGTTATGTAGATCAAGAATAATTGTTCTCCTCGGTTATGAAACTACTGGTAATGCAACCGGTAGTAGGCAAATTAGACTCTTTCCACTTGTTCTTTGTCCTCACTCTACAGGTGCTCCATTTTCAAATCGGTACAGGATTTCATATTTTTCAGTGAATTCAAAGAGACAAAGTTAATTAACTTTGAAACCAATTTTCGTTAACGTTTTCGAAGTCGTAGGGCTGTAGATCCTTAGAGACCCCCAGTCCGTCGCTGCTTTTAGCAGCTACTCAGGTCAATTTGAAAGGTTTTATTGACGTCCCGTGAAAGCTATAAAGATCTTTCGATTTTTTTCCCAGCATGGCGGCTCGAAAACTGAAACTACTTCTTGATATAATCAGAACGCTACACTTGGACAGTATGATTTGATCAATTATTGAAGTTTCGAACCCAAGGCAGTCCGCGTCCAGTCCTTTTTGTCTGTCAATGTGTAGGATTTTTCCCTCGGAATCGAAATAACGCTTCGTGAATCGCCGTCGTGCTGAATCTCGAACTTCGATATTGTCAGTTGCGACAAATAATGTATTGGCTTTGTTAAATTTTTCCATAAAATCCCAAAGTTTAGGCACACTGGTTAACTTATTCCTCGCTGGATCGTTCGGTAAATTTTTACTCTTTCCGATCCGGACATGCGCACAAGTCATATTCTCGGGCAAAGCGAGCGTTTTTAAATGGTTGATCACGTGACGTGATGGTTTCATCAAAGATTCCCAAATTAGTTTAAAAATTTGTTTTCGTGTCGTCCCACCTTTTAGATATGGGGGTAATTTATGCCGGATACGACGATAAATGTAATCATTTCCAGGGGCATTAGTTCTTAAATAAATCACCTCGGTAGTGTCGTTTGACAAATTCATGCCTCCTAAACCAACGGAGTTGATGAGTTTCTGTGGTTTCCCGATCAGGTCACTTTCAGGAATAATCCAATTGTATTTATTTGGAATAAAAAATTGTCGAACATCACAAGGTGTAGACATAACGATTCCAAATTTTCTATCCAACTGAATCGCAGCCATGAAGGCGTAAGCTATTCCCCGCTGTCGATCACCGAAACCACCACAATATCGTTTACTATCACAGAGGTAGATCAAATATTTTGTTGGTTTGGTTATTTTCACCACCACTGACTGTGTCGTGTTATTTACTGATGGTTTTGGTTGTTTTTTAGATGCTGCTGTAATATCCTTTGTTTTTAATTCAAAAAAAGACTTGTTTTTGACATTGGTCTTGACATTGGACTTGACATTGGACAGAGTCTTGATATCCGACTTGTTGTTAGACTTGGTATTGGACCTGTCGTCAACATTAGTCTTGACATTTGACTTGACATTAGTCTTGAAATCGTTGGACTTGAATTTGTCTTTGTCATTGGAATTGTCGGTGGACTTGACATTGGACAGGGTCCTAATATCGGTATTGACATTGGTCTTGACTTGGA